TTTAAAAATGAACTCTGGTACGTTTATCGAGAGCCACAAATAATCCATCAAAGAGCCGCAGGTTGGCCACCTCTGTTGTAGATAATGATAGGTAATGTTGGATAAATGTTTATCTATATACAGATAGATGTGCAACTAACCATTGGACAAGTGACAAGATGAATTGATAGTGAAAATAATTTTGTTTTAAAAGAAGGTGATGGATTTTTTATTTTACTTTTAATATTAAAAATCTTGGAAAACTGAAAAATTTATTAAATTTTCAATGAAAGCTAATAACCATTAATTTAATATTATAATAATTTAAAAAAATTATTCCACTTCAGATAGATTAGGGTCATTGTATACCACAACATTATTATATACATCTATATTTAAAATATAAACAAAATATGAACATACACTAAAAAATATACAAACAAAAACAACGTCAAATAACCAGAAAGCTTAAGTAAGCAGACTTCTGTTTTTTTTTCTTCAAACCAAAAATTATATATTTTTTTATCCAAAAATTATTATTATTGTTTTTAAGAAGATAAGTCGGAACATCCAAAAGTCTACAGTAGTAATAAAGGTGATGTAAAATACCGATCAGTTTTGATATTCAATTCAAGGGAGAAAAAAATATTTCACTAAGCATATATACTTTTAAGATCACACGTTTCCAAAATAATCATTTGTTCAGATTAAATAAAATTTTTAAAAATGAAATGTTGCTTTTCTTTTCCTACGAAGATTTTCAAAATCTGAGGAACAATAAAAATTATTATGAATCAATGATGCATACAGCTGAAATAAAAGCAAAAAATTTATCGCCTAAATATGTTAGCTTCATTAACATTTAGGTCTGAGATTGCAAGAAGAATACCAAGTGAAATGATGATCTCTTTTCTGAATTGATACCAAAAATAACTAAAAATAAAAAATAAAAACATGGTAAATACAATGCCAATCCTGATCACACATTGCCTGACCCCGAGGACAAATTTCCCCCACCTACTTTAGAATTAGGATTTATTTTAATTAAAAAATTTCCTTTTATCCCCCTTTTTTATAACTTTTTTTTCTGTTTTTATAAATATTTAGCAATTTTCTGCAATTACCCCAATTCGTATCAGAATTTTCAGATAAAATAAATTTTCAATTAAAAAAATTAATTAGAAATGTATAAGAGCAAAAAATTTTTAAGCAAGGATTTTGCAAGTAAAATGAATAAGCTTAAAATGTGTTTCTGTCGTAAATTTTTTCCCCTTCTTGTTTATGAGTTGTACAATGGAAGTAAAATTTGACATTATATCCTCATCACAATCAATATGCTTCTTAACTATATTTATAAATAATATTTTCAAAAGCTCTTCCTGTAAGTCAAACATATACCTTAAATCCATCGCTGTAATAATAAAGTTGATTTAAATCAGCTTGATTTAAATCAACTGATTTTTTTTATATATATTGATAGTACAGTACAATCTAAACTAAGTAATCGCTTAGGAAATAAGAAAGCTGGAAAACTTTTGTTTCTTTTTATACAGTTTAGCAACAAATAAAAAACTATTGTATATATGATATCCTTAATATTGTGTACATTAATTTCAAATCACAGAATGAAAATGCCTATGTTATTAAATTAAATAAACCAGAATTAGAATTGTGCTGTCTCTTTTATCAATAAGCATTTTTTTTTTATCATATGTTTACAGCATCTTTGACGTTATCCAATTTTCTATAACGAAATTTGGGAGAAAAAAAAACTAATGAGAACATAGATTTTACAAGAAGAATTTTTCCAGATGAACTTATCTATTTTGATACTTGATTAAAAATGAATATTTTAATATAAAAATATATAGATTAAATATTTACTTTTTGATGAATGACTACATTTTTTAACACAATCTCTTACATTTATTCTGTCATTTTAAAAGTCAAGAGAACAAAAAAAAAAGAAATCATAATTTTAAATTAAAATTACGGTTTGCTAATTGATACTTTGTATTAATAGTTAAAGTTTAAATTCTCTATTTTATCTAGTCTTTAAATTTCAATCATGCATTTGTTTCAAAATGGTTGCTATGCATTCAAAGCTACGTATTGTAATGAAAAATTGTTTCAGGCAGTTAGATATTCTAAAATATAGTTGTCATATAGTTTCAACATTAATTTAATTTTGATTAAACATTTATAAAGTTTTTTAATCATAAATCAAAGTTCTTACAGTGTATTTGAATTAAAAAAATCTGATTTTTTTGATTTTTTAAAAAAAATCACAAACTGTGGTTTAGTGGCACAAAGTCCAAATGAGGATATGCTGCGCCAGTCAGTATAGTTGAAATATCTCCCCAGGGGTTTGTCTAGGTTTTTCTGATATGTACCTATTTTGTGAAAATGTTGACATAATTCATGAAATTAAAAATGTTATTAAAAAATCTACACAAAAATATGGTAAAAATATGGATTTATCGTTTCTTACGAGACACAAAAATAAAATTTTAAGAAAAAGTATTTTGTGAAACTACAGTTTTTCCTAAACTTGAATTAATGAAAGTACCGCTAAACCAGAGTTCGTGATTTTTTTTTTTTATTTAAATCGCATTTTTTTGATTTTTATTCAAATACACTGTAAGAAATTTAATTTACAATTAAAAATACTTTATAAATGTTTAGTCAAAATTAAATTAACATTTAAACTATATTATAACAATATTTTAGGAGCTCTAACTAACTAAAATAATTTTTCGTTATAATGCATAGCTTTGAATGCAAGGCAAACATTTTGGAACAAATGCATGATTGAAATTTAAAGACTAGATGAAATAGAGAATTTAAAGATTACTTCAGGGGTCTGTTTAGGTTTTTCGGAGAGGCAACTATTTTGTGAAAATTTAAACATAATTTGTGAAAGTAAAAAATTATATTAAAAAATCAACACAAAAATATTGTAAAAATATGGATTTTTCGTTTCTTACAAGACACAAAAATAAAATTTTAAGAAAAAATATTTTGTGAATTTATTCTACAGTTTTTCCTAAAGTTGAATTTGTGAAGGTACTGCTAAACGGTAGTAAATTTGGCTTGGGCAGTAAATTTGGCTGTACTTTAACTATTAAAGCAAAGTTTCAATTTGCAAACCGTAATTTTAATTTAAAATTGCAATTCCTTTTTTTCCCCTCTTCATTTTTAAAATAACAAAATAAATGTAACAGATTGTGTTTATAAATGTAGTCATTCATCAAAAAATAAATAAATATTTAATCTATATATTTTTATATTAAAANAAAAAAAAAAAAAAAAAAAAAAAAAAAAAAAAAAAAAAAAAAAAAAAAAAAAAAAAAAAAAAAAAAAAAAAAAAAAAAAAAAAAAAACGAATGAAGAAAGTATAAATGACTAGGTAGGTACTCAAAAATATTCGAGACACAGTTCAAATACAGAATTAAATAGATAATAGTACAAGTGTACACCACATGTCAAGACTTGCTAAGTGCCGCCAGTGCGCCCGCTCGCATTTAAATACCCTGCATAATGACTTAAATAGATTTGAAGATATTCTGACGATGGAAATACCACCATGGATCATAACCCCATTTGATGAAACGGAAGAGGCGAATGTGGTATTACAAGAGGAGCTACTTGAGCTCAGCATCAACGAGGAACTGAAGGTGAAATTTAAAAAAAAGGCTATCAAACATTTTGGCTGCAGGCAGAAATCCCCGAAAAATATCCTGGGCTGTGGGAAATTGCGAGAAAATTTATGACAGCGTTTCCCTCGTCATATCTTGTCGAAAGAAGTTTTAGTGCCGTTACCAACCTGTTAACAAAAAAAGGGAGCTGATTGAACATCACAGAATGGGGAGATTTGAGATTACTTCTTACAAAACTGAAGCCAAATATTGATAATTTGCTGTCAATTCATCAACAGGGTTCCCACTCTTTAAACAAAGCAAAAATTAAGGACTTTTAAGGACTCTTTTTTGACAAAATTAAGGACTTTTTCGAAAAATTAAGCACCTTAAAAATAGTATGATTATTTTTCATCGAATATACCACCAGTGACAGTTATTTACTTTTCTTAAAAAAATCATGTAATAAAAAAAAATAAGAAGAAACAATTTTATTATAATGTAAGTACTGATATAACTGTATTAATTAACAGAGTTCAGTAAAGTAGGACCAGGTAATTTCTGCAAACCGGGGTTGGTTTTTTTTAAAAAAAAGTATCTTCAGATTGTTAAATGTTAACATCTATGAAGCAAAACCGTATTCCATTTTCAATGATTTCACTGAAATTGAATCGTAAAATTAAGTGCAGAAATTAAAATTTGCATTTTTTTCACACATTTAAAAAAAAAAGAGTAAATAATTGAATTTCGGAACATATTGAAAAAATATAAACAAGTTTTTATATTTCGCTGTTAGGCACGCATAACATATTCAGTTGTGGGCCAATAATGTCAAATATTAAGTAATGCCAAAAAGTTAGTCTCTCTAAAATGCATGGTCTCATTCTAGGTGATAAAAGAATGACTTTTTTAAAAATATTTTTGTAACACGGAAAAAATTATTCCTATCAAGAAATAGTGATGCAGAAAAATTAAGGACTTTTAAGAACCTTGTACCAAAATTAAGTACTTTTAAGGGCCCTTATTTTCCAAAATAAAAACTAAGCAGTTTTTAAGGACTTTTAAGGACCGTGGGAACCCTGTATCATGACGTTCCATATATTGGGATGTAAAAGTATTAATGGATTTATATATTTTATATTAACTTGTAAATAACTGTATATTAAATGTTGTGATGTCTCCAATTTACTTCGTTTTTATTTATCCAAAATCGCACATAGTAGGAAGATAGAAAACCTTCCCTTACAAGTCTACTGGAAAATCTAGTACAGTTGACAGCTATGTATGCAGAATTAGATTTTATTTATTCCAGATTCAAATTGTTTCGATAAAAGGAAGAAAAAACCAGTGATTAATACTATTGGGAGGAAAAAGAGTTCTTACTTATGAAAGAGATGTCCGCAGGGAAGTTTTCTTGCCAGATCCAAATGATCCCAGCATATGGCGCAGGCGTCATTATTTCTATCTATTTCCTCGGCAGTAGCCATGGGATAGCTAAAAGAACAACATTATTTTAGGAAAAGAAAACCATAGGAATTGTCCAGTAATCAACTATGGAGAATATTGAAAACTTAATTGTTAGATTTTGCATAGGACAATTATTTTAATGGGGTTTTGCAAAGTGTAAATCAGTATTGTTAAGATTGACATTTTGCAAAATCATCTTGAAACAAAAAGTTTATTAAACATAATTTTCCAGTAGATTATTTCAGCTTAATTGTCACAAATGTTTAAGATTTCAACTACTTATAACTTATTTCAAAACTTCCTCGTGTTTAAAGGCCTAAATCTAAGCCAAATGTAAAAAACCAAAGATTTAGGTAAGTCAGAAATAAAACAAAAAAAAATTTTCTACTTAAGTTTTACAAAAACATTAAGAATCCCAATTAAATCTTTATTTAAAAAGCAAAACCAATTGGATTCATTTATATTTTTAATATTTCCTAAATTTCTTAATAATTGACCCTATTATAAAAAAAAGTATTTTTTTTACAAAGTATATTTTTGTATTTCAGCCTTACAAACCATTTAACATTCTGTCAATCGACAAACTTAAAAGTTTCGCTTAACTGACGTTACTTGTCAAAGTTCACTGTTTGTTTTCATTGGTATCTTTTATTTACACCTCTCTTGCTAGTTGCACAGTGATTTGCCAGGGGCCAGAACTGTCAGCTCAAGTGTCTAGTAAGAGCATATGCCCTAAATGTCAAGAAAGAAATATGTATATGCAGGGTATCTGACATTTTAGATTCTCAAATTCATGACTTTCCATGACAAATTCCAAGAATTTTTCATTACTTAGATACTTTCTTTACCAAGAATTTTTCATTCTTAACATACTTTTCCTGTTCAGCAGAAAGGAAATTTTGAAATTGATAAAATAATAAATAATGACAAAAATTCTGAAATTACAAAAGTACAGATAATCCGCTCTAGAAATGATGTTTTTTCTTTCATTTTTTAAAAGAACACAATTTTTATAGAACACGATAAAAACATTTTATTATTTTAATAAAATAAGACTGAGTGGGGATTTTGCTACAAATTCAGAAATTTGGGGGGGGGGGGNGGGGGGGGGATTTCACTTTAAAAATTAGATTTTTTGGAGACCTAAATCCATGACTTTCCATATTTTTTTAAAAAAAAAGTAGCTAAAATCATGACAAATTTCGTTCAATATCGAAATTCATGACTTTTCGGGTGCATAGATACCCTGTACATGTTTTTATTTTCGAAAAAGAGTAAAATAAGTGCATATTCTACCATAAAGGCATCCTTTAAATACAAATCCAATACTTATTAACTCCTGAAATTAGAAAGATAATATAAAAAGGAAAACTTATGCACAGCAAATCTACAAAGATGCTTCTGCAATGACTTCAATCAGTAGACAGCCTTTCTCGCACACAGCTCTCAACATGGATAAGAAAAAATCCAGTAGATTTTACGAAATAATATAAATTTCATAATTGTCGCATAATGTACTAAATATTTTACACATTTTAGGTATTTTTTTAGTCCTCAAAATAGAAAAATTGCGATATTTTCCCGTTATGATTAACATTAAACCTACTTGAAATGTTATGTATTATGTTTACTCTTAATTTTGAATATTAAAAGGCATTTAATTCATCAAAGATAGAGGATTTAATTTAATTAATTTAATAAGAGAGTTCCGAATCAAAATAAACTGAACATTTTATAACAAAAAAAAAGTTTTGAACTGATTTTGATAAATGAGGTTCGCTTCATTATGTATTAGTAATAATTATTTAAATATTCAAACAATAATCTGTACAAAACATTCTATCTCAATAGGGATTTTTTTTAGAAAATTTACTTAATTTTAGGGAATTTTCTAAAGTGTACAAAAACCAGAAGAATTTTAATTAAACCAGTAGACCGGCAGAAGCAGGCAAAATCCAGCTATGCTCGTGGTTAAGGGAAACCGTATCTTCTTTTTGGAATACTTGTCACCCTCTGGTAATGGCGATTAGTAATAAAGTTTGCACTCTGCATAAGTTTTCATGGTTCATGTTTATACAATTGTAAAATACTGTGTGGTGCTCAGATTGCTTTCATTAGTCCATTCATTGAGAATTCCTCACTTGTGCTGGAAGCTTTTCATTGGCTGGAAAGAAGATCTCAATACAACTCTCGTTGCTTAGAAAGAATACTCTATGTGAAATTTTAAAAAATCATTTTTAAAATTAAGCACAAAACATGAACCATTCTTAAACAAGTCCAACTAAATCAGTATTCACTTGTTCAGCAGGGTTTTGTGGTCTAACAATTACGGAAAGAAAAAAACTTTAACGAGTTTTTCCACATGCAACACAAAATTCAGTTTTTTTTTTTAATACAGACATCATCTGAGAAACTTTGTCATTCATTTAGATGTATCATTCTCTTATACATCATACTTTAAGAGTATCACAAGCATTTAAAATAAGAAGTGTGCAGAGGAGTTATCGACAATGTCAACCTTCATCTATCTAAAGGAACCTCGAGATAGAATAGAGTTAACACGTCTTATATACAATTGAATTGGACAAGATTATTGTAGTGGTAGTTACACTACATTACTCCCCCACTGGAATTTTATCTGGGATATAATTCGACAAATAGATATCACTAGTTGATTCATTGCCATTTTGCGAAAGACCGGGAGAACTGTATAAAGTTCAGGGGATTTTTATCACGGGTTGTGAGAGCTGTATTAAGTTCACGGTTGTGAATGTGGTCGCTCTTGTGTTGCAATTAGCTGTTAGAGTGTGTACAAGCTCCAGTGGTATGTGTGATCGAGACTGAGAAGCAACAATGCGAGGAGGTGGATAATGTTGCAGTCACAAGTAGCAAGTCAATTGTTCAATGGGAACAGGGTTGCCACAAAAAAAATTAACAAAATAGTTGCTATTAGTAGCCTACAGCATGAAAATAGATGTCGAAAACTAGGAAAATAATTGCCTAAATAAGAACAAAAATTCATTAAAAATATGACTAAAATTTTATTAAATGACTTAATTGTCACATAACATGATCCATTTAGTCAAGTTGATAGCAAATAACGTTATAGATTATATATAAACGTAAGTGTTTTAGCTCTAAATCATTATATCAAAAAATATTTTTTCAATAATAAAAAAAAAAACATACCTTTTCTAAAAAATTTTCCCTTTTATCAACAATTTAACAAGTATATATACATATTAAATTAATTATTGATAAAAGGGAACATTTTTTAGAAAAGGTATGTTTTTTTTTAATGAAAAAGTATTTTTTTGATATGGAGCTAGAACACTATATATATATAGTGTTCTAGCTCTGAGATATATATATATGAGAACACTATATATATATACATATATGTACATATATATATACATACATACACACATATATATATATATACATATACACATATATATATACATATATATATATAGTAAAAATCTTAATATATTAAAATTTAGATTTTTTAAAATCATGCAGAATTTCGTAGCAATAGCTATTGAAAAGGCGATAGAGGAACGTAATAGGCTAACAATGGAATATATGTGCAAATTGAACACATTAAAAAGTGATGACTCAACTTTGCAATTCAAAATTATTAAAAAATTTTTTATTTTTTAAAAAAATTCAGTGTGTTACAAAGCTTTGGAGTTCACAATCTATTTATGCTAAAAAACATAACTAGGAGTACAGAAAAGTCTCCCAATATTCTCCTTTATCTGGAAATAGTTGCTTTTTTAGCACTATTAGTACAACTAAGGCAACTTTTTTCAGGCAAAAAAAGTTGCCTTAGTCGCCTTATGCCAAAAATAGTTGAATTTTAGTCACCTGTGGCAACCCTGTGGGGACCATAGATCAAAGGCGTGTTCAAATCAAAGGTAGGTCTGAAGAGTTAACACATCTTATACACTAGTGAATTGGAATAGATTATTGTAGGGGTAGTTACACTATAGTAGAACATGTTCCAGTAAGAGTCTCCCCAAAGAGACACTAATGTCAGATTTTTTGAACAATTACTACAGTTAGTTAGTTTTCACAAAATAAAAATATTTTCTAAATATCCTTTGATAAGAACATGTGAAATTCAGGAACTTACCACACATATGTTAGCAGCCTCTAAAAAATGCTCAGTAATGTTATGTCTATGATAAAATTTATACAAAGTTTTTCGTAAAAACTATTAGAGACACATCCCTGAACTTAATTTTAAATGAAAGATAATTGCACAATCGTCGAATTATTAATTTTTCTTGTAATAATTATCAAGTTACTATAAAAAAAATAATTTTTAAGTGAAATATAGTTATTTCCTTTTTGCAGGAAGACTATGAAATGTTTAAAAATGTCAGACTCATGACACTCTTAACAGTAACTTTTAGAAAACATTTAACACCAGCGGATGATTGCTAAGAACAAAACACATTTTTGAGAAATAATTCAAGAAATGGTGAAACAAATCAAGTGAAATTTTATATGAATAAATTAAATATGACTACTGATACAAATCAGATGATTTTGAAACTTATTTAAATCACTTAGTAACTGAAAATAAAGAAGCTATAATGTATTATAGCTTCTATAATTTCGGTTACTTTTATTTCACTGTGCCATATTAACTTTAAAACTTCTAGAAATATACCCACTCATTATGAAAACATTAACATTTTCCATGAAAATACACGCAAAATATGTAAAAAATAAAATTGTAATACAAATTTATTAGTTTTCTTTTTTATAAGTATGACAAGTTATTTATTTAACCTTTAAACATCAAGTATATTATATGAAAGATGTAATTTTATGGAGTTATATCGTGTATTGGCACAGCTAAATGTCATTTTCCTTGAAAAGTGATTAGTCAAAATTTTTTGGACACATAACTGTCTTGTCTACAGTAATAACTCCCACAATGTCTGCTGCTATGGAAACAAGAATAGCGTATTTCAGGGAGGGTAGCTTCTCTAGGGCTTAACACAACACACTGAAGAGAAAGATCTCTCACCAACCCCGAGCCCTAAACAGTGACCTACTTGAAATAGTAGGACCTTATTCTAGGGAAGTTCTTCTTACTTTATACACAAACCTCCTGTAGAGCTCCAGTATAAATAAAGTTACCTTCTGCAATACTGTTAATTACTACAATAGTCCATGCTGTCTTGCCAGTTTAAACATTAAAGTGTTGTTTCAATGCCTGTATCTGCTACATTTTAGATTTTTAAATTAATGACTAATTCCAAGAATTTTTCATGACTTAACAAAGTTACTATTTTTTCAGACAACAAGAAATTCAAAAACGCAGTATAATAACATACATTGAAATGATAGGTATAACCAGAACTGTTATACTTTGCAACTTCATATTTAAAGATTTAAAAAAACAGATTAAAGAAAGAGTTAAAGCAATAAAATAGCTGGAAAAAATACAAAAGCAAATAATTTTTTTTTCTGCAGAATTATATTCTGAAGGTGCTTTTTTTGTTCATCCGAAAGGAAAGAAATACTCCTGATTTTTCTATTCTCATTGCAGAATAAAAACTGGCTTGCTTCAGCTAGATTTTGAAATTGATAAAATAAAAATAATAACAAAAATTCTGAAATCACAGAAATTTAAAAGATAATTCGATCTAGAAATGATGTTTTTTCTTTCATTTTTTGAAAGAACACCATAACTTTTAAAGAACATGATAAAAACATTTTATATTTTAATAAAATATGACTGTGAGTTGGGATTTTATTACAAATTCAGATATTCGGAACACCATGAAATGGGGGGTATTTTTAGATTCCATTTTAAAAATTAGATTTTTCAGCATCCTAAATCCATGATTTTCTTTAAAAAAAATAGTTAAAACCATGACATTTCATGATAAATTTTATTCAATACCTAAATTCATGACTTTTCAGGTGCCCGGATACCCTGCCTGTATTTTAATGCATTGTAGTAGGTACTCTTTTATCATGCAATTTATTTTAAAAAAAAACTGAAGGGAAACTTTTTTTAAAAACTTAAACTAGTTGGAGGAACCATATTCTCAACTGTAAAAGCAATTCTGATTAACAAGTTGACAAAAAATTACAACAGCCAATTTTGGATTTCAAAATTTCACACATACCTGGGGACTTTTAAATTTTTTAAACAAAGTGTACTTATTGTAGCAGATCAGGGTTCCCATTCAATTTTCGGAAAAAAATTCAAGGACTTTTCAATGACAGTCAAGGACCCACTCAGTATTACAGTTAATATACTAAAGTACATGTCAACCAGATTTTATAATTACGTCGAAGCGGAAATTGTATCTTTTCAAAGCACAATACCTTTTTAACAAAATAATAATTTAATTTTGCAGCTACTAATGCAAATTGTTGATAGTTATATTGCTGCTTCAAATCACTTTGAAAAATTCCAATAAATTGACTGAAACAACTCCAAATGACATTAGCGAACATTTAAAAACTAGCATCAGTGAAACTGTTCATGAAAAATTTTATGAAGTAAATTAGAATGAATGAAAAATATTACATTAAACAAGCATAGTAAATAATTGATAAAGTTTATGTAATTGCACTTTTATTAAAATATAAACACTTTTTCTTTTAGTGTGTTAATTCTAAATTTTAGGTCACAGGAAATGAATATAACATATCAAAATGATATTAAAGTTATATGAACATGCATAATTTCCACTATGCATAATTTTTAAAAATCACATTTATACAAATCTAGATATACTATATGTAAATCAAAATTATAAGAAAGGTGAAGTAAGTCTCGAAGATTGCGTAAATCATGTATCACAATTTGCGATTTGTAAATTGAAATCGAATTGCGGTGTATGTTTCTTAAATCCGAACAATATGAATAGCAAATGCTACAAAACGCAGGAACTAACAAGATGTAAATCAGGATGTGAGATAGATCACTTTAATGTGAATTCCGTTGCACGATTAGCTAATTTTCATGTGAATATCGATCATTACGAGGGAAATTGTAATTTGTGACTCGAAAGTTGCTTAATTTAAAACAACTATGTGTGATTCATAAATCCTTTTGAATTGCAAGCATTAATTCTTAAATCCTTCTAATACCATGTAAACTACTTGAATGAGAATTGTGATGCATAATTCTGAAATTACTTAAATACACATCACGTTACATGATTCAGAAATAACTTTAATTGAAATCATGTGTGTTTGATAAATCATTTTAATGTGAATCGTGATGAGAGATTCATAAAATTATTTAATACGAATCCTGATGAGTAATTAGAAAATTACTTTAAAGCAACAATTGATATATGATTCATTAATCACTTTCATTTGAATCCCAATTCGTAGAACATTTAATATGAATTCTGATCCATAAATCAAGAATCAGTTTAATGTGAATCAAGGTGTTTATTCACATAATTTAGGAGTGCACAACCTTTTTGAGTGAAGGGCCACATGCACAGCAGATTGACCAATGAAGGGCCGCATGACTAAGTATTTCGACAGGCATATTGACAGCAATTGTGGGTAGTAATTGTTATATAAGCATCATTGTTCTAGGCACTAAATTCCTTTTGTTAGTTAACCTTGTAATATCTTTCCATAAAATTATATACTCTTAAATGTTCAAAATTAGAAACTGCAAAACTGATTACTACTTAAGAAGAAAAAACAGAAACAGAAAATCAGAATCAATTTATCAGATAAAATTTGGATAAATTGAAATAATGAAAAATTTGGGGAAATTTCATTTTTTTTTATCATATTACTTAGTACAAAAATCCATTTAAGCATAAATTTTAACATTAAAAAATTTGTTCATAGAGTTAAATTTAAAAGAAATAAATAAATATTCTAGTTATTAAAATAAATGCAAGTTAAATACTTTGATTTAAAGAAAGTTTATAGGGCTAAAAATGATTAAACTTAAAACAAAACTCCTTCAGCGGAAAATAAGATTTAGCATTTAGTAGGGAATATATTTTAACTATAAAATGGTTACTTTAAATTAATTATAAGAGGCAGGGGCTGAGAGATGAAAGAAAAGGAAAGAAAGAAAACATGAATTTTGAAGAAACTATTTTCCTTAATAATAGAAAACTATTAGGATACTTGCTTACAACTTTTAAGACGAATATTTTTTAACATGATACTTACTATTTACAATTAATACACATATATATTAACAATTAATAAAGTTTACATTACTTTTCTAAACAATTNTTATAAAAACATGCGGAAATGTGTAGCAATAACTGCCGAATAAAGGATTAAAAGTCATTTAGATTTTCCATGAAGTTTGCAGAAATAAAACGTTTCAAAAATCGCAATTTCAGTAACTACGTGAAAATGGGTAGCAATAACTACCGAAAAGTCATTGGATTTACGATGAAATCGGCACAGACGAAAAGTGTTAACTAAAATTCGTATAATATAATAATGGCGTTTAAGAAATTTTTAAAACTATACACAAACTCGTAGCGTTAACCATCGAAAAAGTACATTGATTGAAATTGGGTGCGTCAAAAACTTAAATGCGTAAATTTCAAATATCCGATTTTTTTTTTCAAAAATAATAAGAAAAAAAAACTACTTTTTTTCGATTTTGTTCATATTGAAGCCGCGGGCCGCACATTGAAGGTTGGCGGGCCGCAGGTTGTGCACCCCTAACATAATTCATGAAATCTAGAACTAAATTTTATTTATCAGCAGTAAAAACTAAATGTAAAAATCTGATTTTATACAATAACAAACATATACATTTATGTGTATAATACATAAAAAAAAGAAGAAAATTACAGATGTTTTAAAAGCTTACTTGCATTCCATATGTCGTACAATTTTCAGATAGTTTTTATATTTCTTCATTCGATGTCTGATTTCATAGAACAAGCAACGTAGCTGCATAGCAATGACGAGCGTCGCCATAGACAAAAAGATGTTGGCCCACAACTGTAATAAGAAACATTTAATGAGCTTTTAAAACATTACTAATAAAGTTTCCATTCATTCTATTAGTTTATAATGCTTTAATTTTAAGTAGTAGATTCCCTTTCTTTTTAAATCTAATTCAATAAAAGGTGAAGAAAAAAAATGAAAATTTAATTTTGGGTTTACTTTAATTGAGGTGCTGCCAATGAACTTATTGAGTTCAAAGTTCATACACTTAACTGTTGGTCCAATTTAGTAAGAACAGTGTGAAAAAATAATATTTAAGAAAAATGAAACAAATTGGATTATTTTTAATTTAATACAGTCGTCTCCACTTAATTGCATATCCGAGAATCGAATAACCCCCCTAATACGAATAAAATTTAACGGAACCAAATCATCAATTGAATTTAATTGAATGTAAGGTTTAATGGCACAAGGTCCTGAAACCTGAAAGGACATGCTGCGCCAGAACCAAATCATCATACTATGAAAGAAATGTTACATTTCCACGTTTATGTGGTTGTTTCTGGTCCTCGCTTAGTTGCATAAAGAACAGGTACTGAAAAGAAAGAAAAAATTATTTTTAAGAAATGTTTCAACAGTTGAATTTCCATTTTTCAGTTAAGAAGTGGGTGTACAAATTAGTTCGGTCTGTTTTTTTTTGTGTGATCAAAAATGCATTTATTTCAGAACAAAATGAATTAACAAATTAATCAAAGTATTGTCCATCGCCGGCTACTACTTTTCTCCACCTCTCAGGCAATTTTCGAATTCCATCTCGAAAAAATGTCTCGTCTTTTGAGGCGATCCAAGTTAGGAGTCAATTTTCGATTTCTGCAAAAGAAGTGCACTGGCGACCTGCCAAATCGTGCTGCATCCGCCGGAACAACCAGTAATCAGAAAGAGAAAAGTCCAACAAATACAGCGGGTGCGGTAAAATATACCACTTGAGCGTTTCCAAATTATTTTTTACAACTTTTGCAACATCAGGTCGACCGTCATTATGCAGAAAAATAACTTTGTCATGTCTTTGCTCGTATTCCTGCCGTTTTTCTAGCAATGCATGGCTCAAACTAATCAATTGTAGCCTATACTGATCGCCCATAATGGAATCACCAAGTTGTAGCAGCTCATAGTATACAAAACTATTCACCATTCTTTATTCACCAGTCGTGAAACGTCGAAACCATTCCCTACATAATTTTATCAGTTGGAGTACATTCACCATAAACTTCTACAAGAATTCGAGATGCACTTTTCTTCCACTTAAAGCAGAAACATAAAACCTCACGCAAACAGGGCCTGATTATCGCCTAGAGGCATGGGCCTAACAATATCTCGGAGCCTCAAAATTTAGTTAAAAGTCCTCAATATTATTGTTTCTTTTAAATACTGAAAGAAAGTTTTTCTAAAAAAAATGCATTTTTGTTATTTCAAATTTTCCTTATATCATGATAAGGGGTCTGTCGAGACATTTTGTGAAAGTTCCGTTTTTGTAAAATCGTGAAAAAATTACTCGTAATTTGTGAATATAAAATAAACGTTAAGTCACATTCTTTCAACCAAGGTCCGCTTTTGCAGAAACACTTTTTCAAGCAGTTTTTAAATTGTAAAGACATACAAGATTATGCTCAACACTAAGATTATAATTTTAAAAAAATTAAATTTTAAAAAATAAACAGCAATTGCAGTTACTAAACTAGCGATGCAACATATAAATATTTCGTATTTAGCCTATACTGCCGAAAGCAGAATATTCATTTCGGACGAATAAAGGAAGAAGCTTCTGCGGAAGACAAAATTTAGTTCGTTCACATCTCTGTCTTTCTTCCCCCCACCCCTTCCTGGGAAGGGTTTATTCTATTAACAAAACAATAATGAAGATAAACAAATTTGTGAAGGGTCCGTTAACAGACCCAAATTTCTTTTAAACAGATCACTGATATTATATATAATTATGTAACTGTATATACATATCATAATTGATTTAAATAATATAATATATATTGGGAGAAGGATATTAATTCTAACTATAAAGAAGCTTACAGAATAATAGTGCAAAAAAAAAAAATGCATTTCATAGAGTACTATAAATTTTAATTTAATATTCTAATAAAAGTAAATTTATAATGTTTATACAAAAACCAAATGAAAAGAAATTTTTTGCTTTCAGAAGTTTCTGCACACCATAGGTTGTGCACCCCTACTTTACAGAGTTCTTAGAATTAGTCCTCCTCAAAGATAAAGAGCTTTTGCATTACGTTTAAATTACATCAACAGTAATGTTAACCTTATTTTTCTCTAAATAGCGATACTGTGCATGCTCACAAATAAGGTATTGTATACCACAAATAGAGCAGAAACCTTCTTCTCGCGCAAGCATTTTAAAAATAAGGCTAAAAAAAACAAAGTTGGTGTATAACCCACAGAGAAGTCTTAGATTCGGATTCTTTTGAAGATCCGAAGCTTTAGAAGAATGTACTACAGAAGAATAAAGTCGAAAAGAAATTTTCATTGGGGAATGTTCGAGAACTTATGGTGGTAAATTAGAACTATTTGAGAAAATAAAAATTTAACTTCTTACATATTTTTAATTTTATTGAAAATATGAATGTAAATCTTAAATGAAGCCTATTCTAACTGCAATATACATGCATACTATATAGTTTGTCTAAAGTAAGAACTCCCCCAGCCTGTGGCGGTGACTATGGTAGCGAGGAATAACTATTTAAAGTAGGAGAGCGAGATACTTGTGGTAAGGACACGTTTTGTCTCGGGTCGGCGAGAGAAAGGAAACCTTTTTCTATTGTGCTAAGCCCTAGAGTGAAGAGAAGCTACCCTCCCTGAAATGCGCTATTCTTGTTTTCATGGCAGCAGACACCTTTGTGGCGAGGGTTCTAATACATACACAAACTATACATACTCCAAGCCAAGTGTCAGGTGGCTGTATTTACTTTTGCATTAGCAATAATGGAACAGCAGCAGAATCATTTTCGAGCAGAAAAAATGCATTTTGGAACAAATAAATTACGTTTTTGGAGCAGATCGGAGCAAGAACTCTTTCGATTTAGAGAAACAGTGATTGTAAAATGAGATTTTTGGCCATATTTAAGCATATAACTTAACCTTATATATCATATGTAGCAGAAAAATTGCATTATTGAATAAGAAAGAAGCCACTGAAACACTACAATGAATTACTTTTTATAATTCATTTCCCGGAAACATATCTTATTTAAATAAATATGCATTTTAAATAAGAGAAATATGCCAATATTTGAAACTCAATGAAATTCATATTTTAAACTTATTTACCACCACCAATAATAAAAACATACCATCATCAATAATACATATGAAATCATTAATGCAGGGTTAGTTTTAAAAGGATATTGCAGGGAGCACATCTTTGTCTTTTTTGATCATTTCCACACTGTTTGATAAATTATGATACCTCTACAATACATACATTACAATACATTATGATACCTATTACAATACATAAATTTTGAATTTCAGTAGTCACTTTATCAGGGGTGATTGTGAGCCCAAGTCAAAATTCCGGAAAATTTCTTGAGTTTAAAAAAACAAAAACTTTAAAAGAAAAAAAAAGAAGTTTAAATTGAAAAATCAGAAAAAAATTTAAACAAGGTTTTTTTCCTTTTCCTCAATATTTCTTAGTTTACTTAAAATATATTTAAAATTTTACACACACATATACCATTTACACATACCCATGATGATCTGGAGAAGTAATTAAAATTTACAAATAAGTCTTTCTTTCTTGAGTTTATGATTATAACAACTATTTACTGATAAAATCTTGAATATTAATCTTGAATATAAGCTTATAAAGTATCAGGCTCTCCCTTACAAACAAATAAAATAAACTGTGTTTTTAAGTTCCACCTTTGAAAATTTGATTTCAGGAAACTTCTGTGATCAGTGATATTTTGAAACGTCTGGACCTTTGATCTCCGGGAACTTCCGGATCACTGTTAGCAAAAATTCCAGAAATCTGGATATTTTCTGGAGCACAATTAATAAAGCAGGCACAGCCCTGCTTTATTACATGTTGAATTCATGACCATTTCATCATAAACCCCTCTTCATTTTCCAATCATTTTTTACACGAGTTTTCAATTTTTTTTATTTTTACCTACATACAACACACCGTTATTAAGACACTCGAACTTTGCATTTAAGTAATGATTTGTTCAAAAATCACTTTTTGACAAGGCCGATTCCATAATAAATTTACGTTCTGTAATCTTTTCTCTTTTTTTTTTGGTCACTTAAATTTGTATTTCTGATTGGGAAATTTTAAACACTATTTTATTACAACACAATAGATGAAATTAATAGGTATTATTTTTGCACATGCTCTATTTACGCCTATGTTATAGTAAATCCTTGTAATTTTTAGATTTCTTGACAACCTTTCACACGGCTTTTCAAATTTCAATATTTTTAATTTAATGATAAATTATGGAAACAGATTCTGCTATACTTTTGGAAACTACGGGTTTAAGGACCCAGGGTTTGCATTCCTTTGAAATGCCTGCATCAAATAATATAGAAAAAAGATAGAAGAAATGTTTATGAGAAAAAAATTTTTTTGTTCAAAAGTATATAAAGTTTGGATATAATTTTGCTTTACATTTATTGGTTCCTTATTTTTTATCCCAGTGTTTGTGAATTATGCGTCACAAGAGACAAGTCATAAGTTATTGCTCAACAAGATTTGGCATATTATAATAAGGCTTAAGCAGAATCACTGGATAAGTGAATTATTTCAGTAATAACTTCTTGACACACTATTTGATGGAATAAAAAAACACACCTAACTAAACATGTTAATAGAGATTCAGTAGGAAAATTGTTTGCTGCTTTGGAACAAAACTGATTTCTGCATACAATTTTGGCACCAAATTGGGCCAAAGTCGTGTTCTTTTGCTGCTGAGTACTGAAAGATGCTTTGTTGGATGCACATATTAACTGTTGATCATTTCATAAAA